AATACACTTTCTACCGGTGGTTTTTTGAAATGTGAATAGCGTGGTAGAAAATCTGCATGGGGTGTGTTTTTGGCCACTCAGTGCTCAATGGTGAAATAATGAGCACTCAACTCTACTTTCCTTCTCTGAACCGTGGCAACGAATGGCCAGTGAAGTAAGTTAGCTGGATAGTGAATAGACTTTAACGCCTGATGATTATTTACAATATGGAGTTTCACATCAAACAAATATTGATGCAGTCTTTTTACTGCTCATACCATAACTAAGGCCTCCTTTTGTGTCTGAGAATATCAATATTCACTCTTGCTTAACCATGTCAAAATAAAAATCACAGGTTTCCTATTCCGCTCTAGGATTGCACCTAACCCAAATGGAGATGCATCTATAATAAGGATAGATTGTTCAGTCAGTGTAAACAGTTTCGGGAAAGCCTTACCAGTTAAAAACCGTAAAGTGTCCCTCGTTGTTTCCATACAAATTTTTTACCAGACACCAGGTCGGAAAAGGAAGATAATAATTTTGTAAAGCTAGGAATAAATCTGGAACAAAACTGAAAAGTAACAGACTATAATATGTGTGCTGAGGTATTCTTAGGTGATGGTGCTTGAATCAACAGAGCTAGGTTGCTCATATCAGATCTAAAAACCTTAGTATCTACAGTATAGCCTAGGCAGTTGATAAAATTAAGTTGAAACTGACACTTATATGGATTTACGGCTACATGTCACAAAAGCTTCCAAATAACTTTAAAAGACGTTGATTATACAATTTAATATTTTGAGCACGAACTGCGATATCCCGATACCACTCAACACCATTAAGACCAGTGATAATTTGGTTTATCACCTGGAATATCTTAGGGAAGACATTTAATCCGAATGGTAGGAATTTGTATCTGGACATCCCTTATGGTGTATTAATAAATTTAGTTCACTAGAGATCTCATTCAGTGGAATTACAAATAAGCATCTTTCAGGTTCATTTTAGAAAAATACCGTGCTCCCCTTAATTTGTATAGAATATCTTCAGTGATACAACTCTGTCGCAATAGTCGAGTATTTAATGTCAGGTGGTATTTCTTCATCCGCCTTTAATGAAGTCACAATGGGAGTAGCCCAACCGAACGGCTCAACTGCCATTATTATCGCTTTTCCTACCAGTTTAATTAGCTTGTTCTTCACATCCTCTCTTAAAATATATGGAATTAGTCTACGCTTCAAGGTCGTCTTTTATTAAGATACTGTCAGAAGAATTAATACATAAGGGGATGTGTACATCCAGCAGTCTTAGGCTGCGTAATAAAATAGATTGCTATTTTATATCTCGATCCTTAGAAACACCTGGTGGGTGATAGTTCATTAAAGTTTATCTTACTAACTCTTGAACAGTATGGCATAGAACCTTGTCTACAGATATGATGATTCTCATTTACCATGCGTATATCATAAGTTAAAGCTCTTTCTCTGTTACATGGTCATCTTTCCCCCACTTACAATCAATCTATACTCCCACATCTACCTGAATAACTGATACTAAATTCAAGCTTTTCGTATCTCATAACGTACTTTGACTTTTTTTTCATTTTTTGGTGAATGGCTTAAACTACAATTGGATCCAACCACTTCATCCGTTGTTAACGGAGTATGAAAATCTTTAGTCCTAATTGTACTTTTACTTCGCTGAACTGTTTAGTTTGTTTGCTGATTCTTGCTGGACATCTGGGGAATTTCTCAGTAAACACATAGTGGAAAGTTGTCACTTTTTATTTCCATGTTCAAATCCATATTTTCATAGCTGTATTTTGGTTTGTTATCCAGATGTAGTTGTCTGTTATTTAAATTTCACTTCGAATAGTTTTCCATTTATTATGTATGAGTTCTAATGCGTTCCTAGTACTCCGTCTTAATAATACCAAATGAATTTAAGAAAAATGAAGTTCACTCAGAAACACATTCACACTGACTATATCATTAGAGGTAATAAAAAAGATCCACATGGTTAAGGCTAATTCAAAGTCTTTGACGTTTATATCATATAACTGAGTCCTGTTTTAACACAAAAACCCTGTAAACAGTGAACCAATTCCAGTAAAATATAGATACTATTGAATCAGAGTTTGCTGATTTTGAACATATTTAAAAGTTGCTTGATGAATTCCAAATAGTTTTTAGAATAAAATTGCTCAGTAACGAATCGATTCTAGAGATTACTCACCCAAAAGTAAAATCAATTTAATGTGCAGTAAGACTTCGGATATCTAAGTTGGTTTGTATGAAGCACAATGTTGAAATCAAATGGTATATTTTTCAACTTCATTGGAAACCTCTGTATCCTATCTCCAACGCGTGAGTGTTTCGAAATAATGAAATTATAATTACTGATCAAACAGATATCTCTACATCTGAATATTCATAAAGTTAAATGACTAATGTTGATCTCTTACAAGAAACTGATTTACTATAAAGTACCTCTTACCATAGTATATTTTATTCACCTAAACAAAATAAAAAAATATCTTGCTCATGTTAAGCTTAAGGTTCGAAGCATTCGTTACATAATATCTATTTAGCGAATAGGCAATAATTCGATCAAACATTCAACGAAAGGTCAAGAGATAGGCCACTCAGAATAGAGCAAAATGATCACCATATGTCTTATCTACACTTACAGAATTCGACTTCAAAATCAGAAAACAGATGTTCTTGATAAAGATCGCTCACTTAATATTATTATTATTAATGGCTTTATTCAATATTATATTTTGGTATAATATAGAATTCTCAGCACAGGGTATTTCAACAAGTTTCTTAAGCAAAAAACAGAAACAAAGACAAAAACGAAAAAAAGGTTTAAAAAAGACAACCGGAAAACTGTACAACTTTTCAAATTAGAGACATGTTAAGAATGCAGGTTATTGACTAGGTATATTTGCTGGGTAAGGTATTATGGAACTTTTATACTTTTGCTTGCGTGCATGGATTCTAATGTAATTACGTCTCGTTCTAACAGAAGCTATACAAGGAGAAACATAAGAGTGGTGTTTAGATGCCGTTCATGTCTCATGCTAAGGTTAACAGCTTGACATTTAGATGGATTAAGTATAAGACCATTACCAACAGACCAACAATCAATACGAGACAAAAACTCATTCATTTTATGAGATATAAGGAGGAAGAGATAGGCATACATACAGTGAGATGATCCGCATATTTCACAAAAGTGTTTTCTGTGGAAGATGGCAGGTCACGCAGAAAAATGTGGAAAGAAGAGATTAAAGAACAGCTCCTTGTGGTACACCTTTATGAGACAGTAGAGACTCTGAACAATTTTCTCTTCTTCTTTTGCATCTGTAAGCAAACTGATACGGATCAATATGCCCTTTTATCGCAGGCTGAAGTGGAAGTATTAATAATTTTTCCATTGTTTTGAGGAAAAGTGAAGTAATTGCAATAGGTCTAAATTTCACATTCTTATCGCCAAATACTTTCCTGGGTACAGGGATTATTTTCATCTTTCTCCACATGCTCGGTATGAGATTAGATGGGAAGGATCTGTTAAAGAGAATCGTGAGTGGATAAGATAGGACGTCAGCACATTTTTTAAAAAGGAGGTTTGGGATACCATCAGGTCCTAAACATCGGGATGAATTAAGTGACTGGAGACATCTTCGGACATCAGTTCCAGTGGAACTAGGAACACAGCAATTCTTCAGACCTGTGGATAAAGGGAGCAGCACATCAGATGACTGACGTACAAAAGACTTAAGTCACAAACATTCAGATGGTTATCGCTGTTAATCTGTCTGTCACCTGTAAATTCTTTAACGAGTTTCCACATACTTGGAGAGTTTTTGCAAGACAGGAGATTTCGGGTAAAAATAGAGTTGAGACGTGTAATCTGTAGGTTTATTAGACCATTTAGCTTACGAACTTCATTAGAGTTTTTCTTCTTGTACATTCCTTCTCTCACCCTCCGTAATTGTTTTAGTTGTGAAGATGTAAATCAATCAAAACTTGCAAAAATGGTTTCAGTGGGACAACACATATCAAAACAGAATTTGAGGTAACAAGTGATAACATCAGTAGTGTTTTCCAGTGAGTCATCTGTAAATCATTACCAGTTAGTCGTATGAAACATGTTTTCCAAATTTCCTGAGCAATTCCTATATTTGAGTTGGTTTGATGTAAGAGTGTACTCTTTCCATGCTTTCCATATACTTTAAGTAGAACACGAATTATACAGTGAGCACGTTTACGAGTCACATATATACCCACATCATTAATGAAAACGAAGTCTAGATGAGCATTCAAAGGAGTAGGGAAATCTACTACATTTTAGTGATCTATTGACAAAAAAAACATACAGTCAAATGAACTGAAATCACCACATACAACTAAAGTGAACCACTGAAGGCAGTAAAAGCGAACTCAGTGAATTCATCAGCGAAAACAGATAGCGCAGATGATGTGCAGTCTGGAGTCACGTAGATATTGGTAATATAAACATATTCGTTTTTATTCGGATGTTTTGGACGGCATCTTAGAGTTAGACAGTCGACACAGTCATTTGAAAACTTGGAACACACATACGAAGATCGACATCAGTTTATGTTTACAAACGTAGCTAGACCGCCACCACACCTCTTTTTATTGTTTGATCGATCCTAACGACAAATTTTGAAATCACGTAGTGATACTAGGCAGTTGTCCCGTAAATAATCTAACTAAGATTCTTGCATTGTGATGACACCACAATTACGATATATATGTTGACTTAGTAGGAATTGCAGATAGTCCACTTTGTTGATTAGTGATCGGCAGCTAGAATTTAGCAGCTCGGGGATCAACATACGGTTAATATTCATTCTCTTCAATGCATATTGTCAACCACCACGATGTCTTTTATAGTACTTTTTGTAACTTGTGCAGCGAAAGGTCGTTGTAACACGTGTAATCAGCAGTCACTGGAAGACGGGAAAACCTAAAGCCACAACACACACAATGTTAACTGAACACTTTACACCACAGAGAGAACGAGGAACGGAGGCCAATAGACGTTTATTTTTCAAATTAAAATTCGCGGGTCCTGTACAGAAGGGGGAGCTAGTTTACAAACGGTCTTATGAGTCATCATGTAAGTTTAGTGCGTGCAGGGCTTGCTCTTCTTCTTCTAAAGCGTTTATTCTTGCTTGCCCTGCAATAGAAAGAAAACAAAATCTATTAACAACATCATACATGATGATTTTAATCCCGTTACATCGCCCCCTCTCCTAATGAGGCACTGTCCTCAGTGCCTGATCTTGGGCACGGGTATGCTGTCCCTCCTTCAGGTGGTACTTCGTAAAATCTAGTGGCCGGCGGTGGATCAGCGAGTTGAGCATCGAAGGAAAATGTTGTCCGATCGGGTTTTATCTGGTTGTAGTGCACCGTTATCACATCGTCTTCAGGTCGTTGTATGTTACGCAATACAAACGTGGTGGGCGATCGGATGAGGACAATTTCAAAGGGGCCTTGCCAGGGTTGATGGAATTTACTGCAACCCCCTAGCGACGTCATTGGGCGGCGTAACCAGACGCGATCTCCAACCGTATACCTAGGTCCTTGTGCTTGACGATCATATATATCTTTTTGGTGTCCACTGGCCTTGCCTAAGTTAATGTTGACCAGACGGTAGGCATCAGCTAGTCGGTTGCGGAGAGTACGTATGTACGGAACATGCTCTTGTTCTTCGTAGGGCAGCAGGGGTGACTGTATCTCTACTGGTAGGCGTAGTTCGTGCCCGAACAGCAAAATAGCAGGCGAGAATCCCGTGGACCCATGTACCGACGTACGATATGCTAAAAGGCATTGGGGAAGCACCTCATCCCATAACTCCGGTGACGATCTGCTGACAAACGACTGCAAGATGGCTTTAATAGTTCTGTTTGTTCTTTCTACGAGGCCGTTACCTTCTGGGTGATAGGCAGTGGTGTGTGTCTTCTTGATTCCTAATAGCCGGCATATCTCAGTAATGAGGTGGCTTTCAAAGGCTGGACCTTGGTCGGAGTGGAGTGAGACAGGGGCACCATAACGGGAGACCCAGTGATCGATGAAAGCTCGGGCAACAGTAGGGGCGTCCTGCTGTGGAAGGGGTACAGCTTCGCACCATTTAGTGAAATAATCCACCATAACCAGTATGTAGCGGTTCCCGTTTTTTGTCGTAGTTAGTGGTCCCATGATGTCTATACCAACTCGCTGGTGTGGTCCTGTCGTTACCATCGGCGTCATTGGTGCACGGGGTGTCTGCTGAGGCGATTTAAAACGGCAGCACGTGTTACAATTCTTGCAAAACTGAGCTACATCTTCGTGTATAGAAGGCCACCAAAAGCGTTGACGAACAGCGTGTTCCGTTCTCCGTTCTCCCGCATGACCAAGTTCGCGGTGTACCTGTTCCACAATACTCTCAACTTTCACTCGCGGTACTATCAGTAGGGGTTGTTTTGATTCATTCATTAGGAATAATGTGTCACCATATAGCTTGAAGTTACCCCATTTGGTGCAGATACGACGAGTTGCTACGGATTGATCTTTAAGCTCCCTCATGGATGGCTTACTATTTCCATGTAGCTGTCTCTGATAAACAATCTGTAAGTCTGGATCTGCTGCTTGTAGGGAGGGCCAATCTGTCTCTGGAGCTGTACTAAGAATTGCGTTAATAATCTCTGTGGTCTGGGGTATTCGGGAGAGTGCATCCGCGTTTGCATGTCGATTTCCTGGGCGATACTCGCATGTGAAATCGAACTCTTGTAGTCTCTCCTGCCAGCGTGCCACTTGCCCTTCTGGTTCGCGGAAAGAACGTAGCCACTGCAGTGCACGGTGATCCGTGCGCACACGAAAGGGTTTGCCCAACAGATAATGGCGAAAATGTTGTAAGAATTTTACTAGTGCTAACATCTCCCGACGTGTTGTAGAATATCGTGCTTCAGTCTTATCTAATCGTCGACTAGCATACGCAATGACCCTTTCGTGTCCATCTCGAGCTACTTGTGATAAAACTGCTCCAATAGCTGAGGAACTAGCATCCGTATCGAGTATAAATTCGCCTCCGTCTGCTGACGTATCTGGGAAGGCTAATATAGGTGGAGAAGTTAATCGAGCCTTCAAAGCATCGAACGCCTGTTGACACTCGCTGGTCCATAAAAATTTTCGTCCTTTGTGGGTTAATCGGTGTAAAGGTGCTGCTAATGATGCGAAATCACGTACGAAGCGTCTATAGTAAGAAGCTAGCCCAAGGAAGCTACGAACGTCTTCAGGTGATTTTGGTTGCGGCCAATTAACAATCACACGTGTCTTTTCTTTATCTGTTGCCACTCCATCTTCTGTAATGCGGTGCCCTAAGAAAAGCACTTCTTTTTGCAATAGTCGACATTTAGATGGTTTCACTTTTAGGTTATGCTGCTTAATACGTTGTAGGACTGCCTTCAAATTGGCATTATGTTGTTCTGGCGTGTTGCCATATACAATAATATCGTCAAGGTAGATTAAGCACTGGTGCGGTACGAGACCTTGCAGAACTGTCTGCATCAATCGTTGAAAGGTAGCTGGGGCGTTAGTTAGCCCGAAAGGCATTACTTGAAATTCATATAAGCCATTAGGCACTACAAATGCAGTTTTTTTTCTATCTTGGGGTCGGACTTCCACTTGCCAATACCCGGATGCTAAGTCTAGCGTTGAGAACCAGCGAGCACCTTTCATGGCATCTAAGGTAGCGTCTATCCGTGGAAGTGGAAAGGAATCCCGCTTAGTTATAGCATTAAGGCGCCGGTAATCTACACACAGTCGTAGGGAGGAATCCTTCTTTTTTACTAAGACAATTGGCGATGCCCAGGGTGACGAAGATGGTACAATAATCTTTTTTTCTAACATATCTTTTATCATGGATTCTAAATGAGGCTGATAATGCACCGGGACCCTACGAGGTGGTTGGCGTAATGGCATGTGGTCACCTGTGACAATGGAATGTTGCACAATGGTTGTCCGATTTCCAGAGATGTTCTCCGAGAAAACAGTGCTAAATCGTTGGAGTACGTCAATGGTAGCCCGACGGTCCTTTTCACTTATTAATTGGTTATCTCGTACCTGACGTACAATCTCGGCAGTTCCCACCTGGGCTACGGACTTAGTTGGTATTTCATGGTGTTGTATTTGTACGACAACTCCACCAATACTCGCTTCTGACTTATTCATGTGTATAGAGACCTGGTATTTTAACATGAAGTCGACCCCGAGAATCATGTCCCAAGTCAGTGTGGGGCAAACCCAGAATTCATGTTGAAAAGGCTTCTTGTCAATCGTCAGCTCTAACCCTATCTGAGAACACGCTTTCAAGGGTTCTCCGCTCGCGGTAATTAACGTAGAAGAGCGTTGTTTACGCTGGGTGCTGAGGTTAAGTTTCTGCAAGAGGTCTTCCTTGATCAAGGATACTGAAGCTCCTGTATCTAATAGTATATTAATCTCAGTACTTTGCACTCTACCCTTAATAGTAACAGGGCACAAATGCTTAACATAGCAAGACGATATATGTAAACGACACTGCTTACCTGGTTTCCGGGGGCGGTTGTGACCGCATCTTTTGGCGTTCTTGCCAAACCTTTTGCAATATATACAGTCGGCTTGGCGCCCATTGTAATTTCTCCATGCTGGTTGTTTGTTCCATCTCAAATTTGACTGTCCGCGGATAGCACCTCGGCCGGGAAGGTCGGTCACAGCTATTGTAGTCTGGCAGGTGTCCGGACCACTAGATTTTGTGGCTCGTTCCACAGTCATTACCGATGATGAATGTGCATTGGATACATTCACTAGTTTGTCAGCGGCCAGAAAGCGTAATGTTGTTCTCTTTACGTCAGACGTATCCGTTGGTGGATTTCGAAGGAAGTGTTCTCTGAGTGGTCCGGGTAACAGGCCCTCAACAAAACGTGAGCGAATTAGTTCCTCTCGTCCCATCATATCCAACCGGGGGAATGCTTGTACCGCAACTTGCTGTAGGGAATGAAGGTAGTCTACTGGACTCTCGCTCGCTTTCTGGTGGCGTGATAAAAACTGAATTGTCATTTGCTGGGTGTCCACGGGCAAGGAAAAACAGTCGTCCAGAATTCTCCAGTTTTGTGGGAGCGTGTTACTGGCCGCAAACCCGTTCGCTATAACCCTGCGTACTGCATCATCACTCAGATAGGAAACAAGGTAGTTGAAATGCTCGGATAATGGAACTCTCTGCAGGTACGCTGTGACTTTAAACTTCCAAACGGAGTAATCTGATGATGTTTCGAGCAGTGGTGGTTGATGCGGGGTTGAACTGGAAGTAGCCCTGATTGGAATCAAAGGGGGTTCGTCTAGGTTCTCATCGCGTTTTTCCATCTCACCTCCGACACCAGTTGTAACACGTGTAATCAGCAGTCACTGGAAGACGGGAAAACCTAAAGCCACAACACACACAATGTTAACTGAACACTTTACACCACAGAGAGAACGAGGAACGGAGGCCAATAGACGTTTATTTTTCAAATTAAAATTCGCGGGTCCTGTACAGAAGGGGGAGCTAGTTTACAAACGGTCTTATGAGTCATCATGTAAGTTTAGTGCGTGCAGGGCTTGCTCTTCTTCTTCTAAAGCGTTTATTCTTGCTTGCCCTGCAATAGAAAGAAAACAAAATCTATTAACAACATCATACATGATGATTTTAATCCCGTTACATCGTAGGCTTTCCATAAAAGCGCCTGTACAGGTTATACGATTAATGGTCATAATGACACGTTAAAACAAAATGAAGGAAAAAATAACTTGTTGAAATAATTAGATGACAGAAATAGGTAGCCCAGATATTCAAGCAGGCCGCCAATCTAACTTCCAGTAGAATATCAAAGGACAACAAGCCTTTGACAATATGACATATTTGCCTCCCACTTCCGATGTAAAAATCACTCAGATTCACGTACAACCGACTGATGAGTTGCGAATACGTTGAAACACACGCTATGTGCTCCATTACTAGCCACAATACGTCTATTTTTTCTGAAAAAGATCTCGCATTAACTTCAGGCCGTTAATGAGTAGTAGACACCGGTAATCACGCTTGTCTCAGTTGTTCGAAGAAAGAAGCTAATGACACCACATCCTATTCTATACATAGGACCAGACGTAATCTATATCTGTATCAACCGAAAAATGGAAAAATCATTTCTTTTATGCCTGTGCAAATGCTGTTAAGTGATGCCGAATATTTCCCCAGACACCTTAGAAAAATAACCTCCCGGATACTAACGGCTATTGTGGTAAGACATCAATGAAGTTGGTAGATAATTAGATGAGTAAATTAAATCTCTTTTCAATGAGAATCTCTCGCTTTATTCTTACGGATAGTCATCGACAAAATCAAATTTAGAACAAAATAAATTTCTGCCCAAAATAAGTTCCGTATTCACTTTTGTATTCACTTCCATAATTTTAATGCAAAACATAAAAAGTTGTTTTCTATACTTTATAGCTGTGAAGCGTTAAACTAAAATCAATAGATGACTATGAGGAATAAAAAATATCTACAAAAGATATTATGAAAATTAGAATTTCGCGATGGAATAATAGGAGTTCCCTAGCTAAAATAATTAACGATATGTTAATTCGAATATACACGAAAGCATTGAGTTCATCAATCTCTTAGTAACAGTTGAATATGTGTATTTTTTAATTGAATAAGACGAAAACCCACTATTTTTTAAATAAATTACATGATGAGCTCATTTTTATTATTTATCATTGATTATAAAATTGATAAATAAGAGTAATTTACATAATTTATACTTTTGGAAAATGAAAGAATTTTCATTTGGATTCTATACTAATCACCCAATACATATTTTCATGAGTAATTCAAAAAGTACATATATCAATTATTTCCATTTCGCTCTCTACTCAAATTAAAGTTATCATGTAAACAGAGATGGAGGGAGAAAAATAATTAATGATTATTAACTGCTACCGATGTTAGTCATAACAAAAATATTACAAACATTTAAATAATGACATAAACATTTATTTATTCTTCTTGAAAATATGAATCTTGAATACATTTAAGACAAATAATAATGAATGTATTTGTCTCAGTCTATATTTAATGAAAGGACTAATAGTGTATATTGGTAACGCTAAGCTATCACTACTCACCAGTAATAAAAGTAGTAGTAGTGATAGTGAGTTACACATATGTATACAAAAACATGAGCATACATGATTTCAATAATTCTGTTGTGTTTACTCAGCAACAAAGGAGAGTTTGAATAGAAAAGAAGAAATAAAGTACTGAAAGACAGAAACTTGAAAGATACGAACAACCTTCAAGTACGTTAGGTAAATGGTTCTTTTAGCAGAAATTGTTCGTTTACACATACATATATGCTTAAATGGATAGATTAATAGATGCATTGTATTCGCTCTTCATTAATCTGTTCGTTCGGTTTTAAACGAGTATTTACAAAATATTATAACAACCATTGTGGTAATCAAACAAAAATGTTAAGATAAAAATTCTCAGTTCTCCATACTCCCTGTCTCTCATTTTTACACATTGGAAATATCACCTGATGAATAGTTTGACTGTTTGGATTCAGAAGATAAGCACTGGTGTTCAGCTTGTTTATTTCCACTTGAATAGTCACTTGTAAACATATCTGATTTTAAATTGGAAAACGCTTCAGATAAATTGATAAGTTTTTTCTTTTCATCGACAATCTGCTCGTCCTCATCCTCATGTAGCTGTGGCCACTGCTGCTTGTCTTCCTTCTTCTTATTGATTCTCTTTCCATCACCTACTGTTTTGTGAACAGAAGATGACTTTAATTGGGAAATTTCTTGTTGATTCATTGTTCTACTGTTAGGTGTTTTAATGATGGTAAAAGTTTGCAGTGGATTAGATTTTACAACTGGTTCACCAAGAGTACTCGTTGATGCAGTTGACTCTATTGCTTTAGTCATTGAAATTGTTGAAGTACTTGAATTAGCCAAACAAACTAATGGTGCCACTAACGGTGATGAGTCAGTTCCATATGTATCATGTAAACAACCAGATGTATTTACATCACCTTGCTGATCAAATAGACAAACACCTAGTTAAAAGAAACATATGCGTACATATATGGAACAGAATACAATTATAAATAAAAAGCTCACTACATTGACTAAACAATTATAATTGTTGAGTGATTCCTAAGTTGAAAGCAGTTGTTTCCTCCTATCATAATTAAAATGATTTTACTAACTAACAGAACTGTAAATAATTACCATCTAAAATTATTTATGATAGATTTTCCAAGTAGTAAAATATTAATAAAAACATCGTGTTTTTGTCAACATAATGTTGTTATAACAACTATTATCTTCAAGAAAAGACATGATATATTATTAATTCGCTGCGAACATTCTTGAGGTGAAAGAAGAAGAAAATATTATTAACATCTAGGGGTGAAATGATAAAAATGATCAATACAGTTCTCTTCCCATCAATTCTGATCACTTTTTAAACATAATAATAATTACCATTTGCTCACTAGTGACTAGCTTTGAGAGGAAATTCTAAAAGTACTAGTGAGAAGCTGTGACCAGTGAGGCCAATCCGTGTCGGGCGTAAGGTAGTTACCCACTGAAGAAAATAGAAGATAGTCGCGCAATTTCATGGAGTGATTGAAGTTAGACATTCACATCGTCAGGCATCTTACCGTCGGAGACGGAAATCCGTTAGGTAAGGCGAGGTGTGCATTTTTAGGGTCGGTCTTTTCTTAACCCACCCTTCCTTGTGAGAAGGCGGCATCGCTGTTATGCTGGTTGTCTGAAGGAAACAACTTACTGCCGTTACACCTCTGTACAGTCAGTAGTACTGTGATGTGAGCTACTTATATTCATATAAGTAGTATATAACGTGCGTTAAAAGAACGTAATGTCCGGCAGCAGAAGATGGCGAAGATCAAGAAAGGAAGAGCAAGAGCAGAATGGAATTGTAAGAAAACGCATGTACAATGGAATGAGAGACAATGGATTAGTGTTTGCAACGGGAACAGTACAGTTTCATATGATGGAATGATATTTTGCAAATTGACGATTGACTTTATGGTATTCACATTTTATTGAGATAGTCTGTAATCTTTGTGCTAAATACAATCGATTGTCCCCACCCGTGTTCTTGTTCACTACAGTACGACCTTGCCCTCGAACCTTAGGTTTGCTGCTTTTAGTCTTACTGCTCTTCAACCAACCTTTCTGTCATGGTAGAACCTTGAGGAACGATTGTTCCAACCAGTATAGCTCGATTGGTTCATTGTGATAGGCAGGTCCGACCACCATGTCAAGCTAGCAGCAACGATCGGTCAGATTTAAATTGACTTATTAGTTACTTTTACACGATTTACCACTCCTAATCTGTTGCCAGTGTGTTATTTACTGTCTTCTCTAATCACAGTCACTCTTTGGCATACTCATGTATAATTTTTATTTTTCACCTTATAGTGTGATGTGGTCTGGTATCCCTGTATATAAACTACGTCTGGTTGAAATATAATATTGTGGAGGCTGATCACTAACTTCTGAACTCAAGGACCGGGAAGAGAGAGAATTACAGAATAGTGGAACAGTAAGGACTTAACAGTTGACTCAAAGTTACTAGTGCTGAGACGGATTCCGAATGGTGTTTTTTCAAGTGATATTAGTGGGTGACCATAAGACACAAGTTTTTTTAATCTGGACGATGAGATTTGATTTTCTTAAAGGATATTATTTGTGATAAAAACTTATATATATATATATATATATATATATATATATATATATTATTTCGTTGGATAAATTATCAGTAAAATTAGCAAGTATTTTAAATAATTCGTGTCAAATAATAACGCCTATTATTAAATTTTTCAATAATGTGACAACTCCATTGACAGTTTACTTGGAACAAAAAGAATCTTCAATTAAATTTATCTTTCGAATGGAATTGGTATCAGTATTAGGAGTAAGTAATATATTTTTGCTCTCACTTCAATCACATACACTGTACAAAAGGAACTTGTTCTTAAGAATTCTGAGTTGTTTGAACTGAAAATATAAATAATCTCTACAAAAATATTTTGTAAGCTAAATGCTAGTTGGAGCTTTTTTTTAAATTCCAATGGGAAAAATACCTAGAAATGTTTGATCGTGAATTTCATTCACTTAGACAAATTAATCTGGTCATATATAAATGTTGTTTCACACATAGCAAAGTTCACTATTTTTCCTCTAAACGTATTTACCAAATACAATTTTATGACGTCAGATTTGAACCATGTTGTTTGGTTGGGTGATTAGTGATGCTACTCAGTTGCCCGAACTGACCATAGGTAGAGTGCAGTTTGAACATGAGACCTATTGGTCGTAAAACGGTTATCTTAACTAACATTAGCTTTTCTATTTATCTTAGAAAATCAACAACGATGGACTTCAAAAATAAATATCATTAAATAGACAATAATAGTTATCCGACAGATAAATATTTTTTTTGTACAATATTTAACTTTAATTTAAAGTAAGAGTTTATCAGTAATCATCATTCTAAATCATGCTTGATTCATTATTCCTTCAGTGATTTAACTGTGAAGTAGTCACGAAAACAAAATGAATAAATCATCTTACTAAATTTATGATTCATTGATAATGTCTAACCATTCCAGACGTGATTAATCAACTTAAAAGATTAATAGATATTTTTAATTAGTCTAATTACTTCATATTCATTATCCCAAACAAAATGCTGATATATAAACTCAGAAAAAACACAATAAATAATTCACATGTGAAAAAAACTACATCATTCTGAATTAGCTGAATAAGTAGTATGGTACTATTTAGGTTACCAAACATCAGTTCTTGATTTACACTAATTAATCTCTAAATAGTAGTAACCAATATCATGTTTTCTTAATCGAAATATATTCAATATGAACACTAGCCTAAGTAATTCAAAACCTTTGATTCAAATCCTATAGAGAGTATCAGGTCTATTAAAACTGTAGATAAGTCCTGCTGACGAGTGCCAGCTAGCAACAAAACACGCGGTTACTTACACTTAAATGATTCATAATTTTAAACTTCAACATATTATTTCATAAAATATGACCATAACTAGATCTTATCAGTTAACATTCTCTTCAAATTCTAATCAGGTTAACCACACAAGTGATGACATCCAAATGAATTACCGATGATTCATTCTACACCAAGAATATAGCTGAGTATTGAATTGTTTTCAAATTAAATCGAAAAATATAAACAACCGAACTAGAACCTAACTACCAGATGATAATAATAATGGTCTGTCCACCTTCAAATATGTACATGTTAATATCATGAACTTATAAATATAACGAGCAATTGGTTATAATTCTACTCAAAATTACCTGGGCGTACACTTTCACCAGTCTTACCACTGCTATCCTTATTAGTATTATTATTGTCATTGTCATTTATAAACTTTCTTATTTGCACAGGCGGTGATTGTTCAGCTCTTTTCGTTCCAGTTATTACATTTGTACTGATTCGTTTAACACTACTACTGCTACTATTTAAGTGCATACCACGTGTATTTGCCGGATCAAAACGGTTGTTGACAATCATTGTGTGTTGGTTATTACACATATAATTTTTACTACCAACAATGGCATTGTTATAACCAGTACTTGTGTTGTTAGCTAAAAACTTTTCGCGTATAAATTGAGGTGGGAAATCAAGCAAACTGTAAAAAAAAGAGAAAGGTGTAGGAAAACAAAAAAACATTCCGTATATATATATATATATATATATATATATATATATATATATAACTTGCTATACTACTCACCAATAGAAGTTATATTTAAGACTACATTTTCTGTGTTTACCTTCAATCAATAGGTCTTATTGTCTTTAACCAAAAACCCTCATATGCATTCCAACATAACTTTAATTGATGTGCTGTTTCGAGACACATAAATCATACACGTCCTAGCCACTTCGGTGGACGTGTATCCATATATATCACCTCGACCTAAATGACATTAGAAAAAAGTTGACGAGTAGTTAGAGAGCAACCTAACAACACAAACGGTATAGGCTGTGATAAATTAAATCACATCTTGATTGACTTAGAGTTAGAATCAAGTAAAACAATATTTATCAAATGCTAACGGCTGAGCAGCATGAAGTTTCAATGCAGAAATCAATGATCAGAGTGTGCTGTAAAAAGTGGCTACATGTACTTAAGGCAGAAGAGGTAAGTCCAGCTTTAGATACACAATCGCTCTCAGCCAAAAATTAAAACACGGTAACATATTGGGCATGGAAACAATAATTAGTTCTTAATAACCTCCACCTCTTGAACCTCGACAGTTAATCTGCCTTCAAAATATACGAAAATGTTCGCAAAACCCCTGTCTCTATTGAAATCAAGAGTATAACTGAAGTTATACTTCTGAACATACAGAAGCACACCGAATTCGACATATAAATATTTCCAATAACTTACGATGCGATCTTCCGTAGTTTCGTTTGTTCAACGACTGTTTTACCACGGGACAATAATTGCCGAGCTGTCATACAACGTATATGATCTTCAAATAGAAACTTTGCAACCATAATCGGCGATTTACTATCAGTATTATTAATATTACTGAATAATCGTCCAGGACTGGAATTTTGACAGGTTAAATGACCAGGCGCATGAATGGTCACATGAAGACAACGACTATCAGCTGGATCACAATGAGATTCCAAATCCTATTTATGCAATAAATTAAAAAACGAAATAAAACAAAACACTAGAACTGTGAAATCATCTTGTTTGATTTATCTAGAAACCAATTTTAGATAAAGTGCACATTAGACTAAGGGAAATCTTTGTTATGTTGTAGTAATATCATTAAAGACTTAGTTGAACAGGTTTTGTAGATTAGTTTATTATTATAAAAACTGGTTTACATTGTCGATTATTATCAACCTGGGAGTTGGTGAACATCAAGTAGCACTGAACAGTTGCTCCATTCTCGTTCAGGAACTCTCCATCAACATTATAAAAAAATTAGTTTAAGAGTGAATAACTTTTGGTGGATAGATGATAGATTTATAGATAGCAGTAGATACTGAGCTCAAGTTTCAGTATGATATATCAATACTGGGATAGTGGAAAAGTCTCAATTAGGACGGAACGATCATCTGAGACTTCAGTCCCATTCTATGCCCAAAATATGACACTTGGAACAAATTCATATGGTTCAGTAATTAAAAATTTCATTGAAATGCTTTAATTAACAACTTGATAAGTCATAAGTCAGCAAAGACGATTAATGATGGAACTCAGTAACCAATTAAAGATTCGTATAATCGTTGGGCAATTTTCATAGAACAGCTAGTGATATTGTCAAGCTTTTTAAACTGGAATGGATAAGATGACGTTCGAATCCAAGATCCAACAGTAGTAATTTACGTATTTTAATTATTAGGTCCCCTTTCCTCCTACCAATCAAATATCAGTTTTTCCTCGTTCATTTGGATATTAAAGCGTAAAATTTTTACAAAACATTAGCAAAAATATTAGTTTTAAAAGTATATAAGAAAAAATACAACAGCAATTATAATTCCCTACAATTATCACTGAAATGGAGCGGTGGCTTGGAAATTGAAACACTTGACTTTCAACTATCAAGTTACAGATTTAAACACCGTTATGTATTATGTTAATTAAGACAGTGTGGAGTGATGACTACATGAAAGTTCACTTGAACTATCACTTCCTTAAGATCAGTATTCTATGAAACAAGAGACATGCGAACTACATGTCACTTCGTAATCCATATTACATAGATGTTAAACTGGCAAACCGCACTTATTCTGTATAAATATGAGCATTACTCAATTCATTAATATGAGATTCATTAGATGACATTTGTTTAAACTACCTATTTAGTTGATAGAAGTTAATTACTGAAAAAAGTGAACTACAATTGCGAATATAATAACTATGTATATATTTACTAACTTGTAATGGTCCAATAAATGTTATGACACCCCAACCAAGTTGTTTTGAGTCAGGTTTTACCAGAACCAACTGCTGACCACAACTAACTATAAAACGTTTTTCATGACTATAATATATATTAAGAAAGAAATATACACAAAGTTAAAGCACCTATTATTCATGAAAAAAAGTCAAAAGAAAAGCACCAATCTCAATGTGATCATTCAAATAACAGTTTGTGCAGATTTTTGAATTTCATGTTAGTTTTAACAAGTTGATATCTGTTGGAGAGGTATTGATAACCAAAGAGTACCCAGCAATTTTTTTTTCCAAGTGAAAATACAAAAACATGAACATGACAAAGTAGAAAAAAATTATCTCAGTTATATGTATACTATATATTAAAAATTCCCATCACTTTGTTTCGGCATTAAACATCACTTTTGTTTCGTTGAATGCCACAACCAATCAAGTATACGTTATTAGATATTTCTTCAGTTAGAATAAATAACGGTGCGGCCTTCTTGACATGCGCATTCAGTCAGCATCAACGTAGAACTTCGTACGTACGTACATTGGTTCAAGTTGCCATACCACATTAGCACACAGATACAATCGTAGATTCAAATTCCGTAGTGGTAGAGGTAGTAAAAGTATAAGCAGTAATCGGAAAGATTAGGGTTTGATGACGTTATTCAAGGAGTATAATACAGTGAACTAAGTTTGGAAAGAGAAAAAAAGGGACATGAAGAATTCAGAAGATTAAAATTCGGGAGAACACAGAGAGTGGATGCACCTGCGCCATTGCAAACGATTTTGAACCACGTCATTCAAGGTCTCTAACCATCAACATGCGCATTAACCTTCAAGCTATTGAATTAAGTACACATCAATACTATCCTTTTAATTGAAATTAACACTTGGGATGTATTATTAATTTATTTAATACCAGTTATTTTACATTAAGACAGGAGGTTATAATGTGAAGAGACAAAAGAGTATTATATATATAGCATTAGAATATTTCAGATTGAAGAGTAAATTGTGCTGAAATTACAAACACCAGTTATTAAATTGATGCATATGGATTTGATGAATACCTTTTTGTCAAGAGAGCTTTATTTGTTATATATAAATCGGGCTAATAAGCCTTAACTAACAGTCCAACAATATAATCGATTTACAATCGTAATCATACAGCAAAATACGAAATCACACCGACTTTATGCATCATGAATTCATGAGACAAGAGACTGTACAAATCAGAAAATCTATAAAAATACAGAATATATAATCGACAATCGAGCTAAAATCGATACTAATACAACTCTAACTCTCTTTGTGTTCATTGGCACCCGATTAATGTTCAAGTTCAATCGTAAGTTTATTTATTTATCTAAACACATAAACATTGGTACAAGGAGGCGCCAAATATACATGCCCCACATAAATAATTCGATGTGTGAGGGCTGAGATACTGTCCGGGTGCCCAAACCGAAACAGGTGGCTTTCCTATGGGGCCACACCCGGAGCCTACGACCTGAAGGTCTGATCCACAAGGCAGTGGAGCAACGTTAATTGTAAGTATTAATTCATTTCCGTAATTCACAAACAAACCACGAAAGGAAACGTCTTCTTAAGGATATCTGAAATGTAGACTGCGCTATGAGTGGTTTTGAAAACCACAGAGCATGACAACAGTGCTTGATAAATAACTGCTAGGGGATTTGTTTTTAAAGGTTTAGATGAATTAGCTTCATACTTTAAAGGCCTAATCTTAACCAAAGGAAATCCATAGGCCAGTGTGAAGTGTAATAGTTTTACAGTCAACCTTTTCTAATCCCATTTTTCCATCGTGGGAAGGCATCATTGCTAAATATCCTCATTGTTTGATAGGAATACTTTATTGTCATCTCACTTCAAAGCAGTCGGTAGTACAGCTTTCCCCTCGCAACTTAAATCCGCTGCTTATATATACACATAATTCTAAAAGATCGAAGTCATATATACCATGTAAATTTCCCTATATATAAACGCGCATGACTAAGAGAAATTAATATCCATTAATCACTTTTTAAAATATTCGATCTTTATTCGTTTCATTTATTAGTCCTCTATGAGAATAACAACAGTATATCACACTTTTCCCTATGAAAAACCAATGATACATGTTAAAGTTAATTTTATAAAACTATATTTTTAGTACAAACAAACTTACGCAAAAAGGATTAAGATAAAAGACAACACATACAACAAGGAAAATTCTAATGATAAAAGATTTTATTGAAAAAAGAAATAAACAGTGAATAGAAAGTACGGATACTTACATGCCAGAACATTCCACTGTACATCCAATCAGTGTTTCAGAGACTAAAGTAATAATAATAATATTGACCTTATTAAAAATGAAAATCCAAAATAATAAAGTTGGAGATGATTATCTGCCATGAATACTGATATTACTGAGAGAAGTATCAGATTGCTTCTGTATCTTCATAATTCCAAATGACTTAGTTAAATTATATTTATAAAGACATATATTGTCAAAGATTTACCAAGTGTTTTAATGACCTAATTACTATTATGATGACAGTCACCAAAGTAGATAAGCATAATGATTGTAATCTACCGAAAACTAACAGGAGTTGAAAATGTCGAGTATCGGATCACACGTTGAAAAATCTCTCAAAAATCTGTAACTGAAACCAAATTTGTCACATCGAGCTACACATTTAGTACTTTGAGAAATCCAATGATCAACATCTACAACACAACTATCAGTACTAAGTTCTAGTTTGCTAATGCAGATACTCAGATACACGAAGTTCTTCAGTCAGTCAGTCAGTAACAACGTAGAACTTCGTACGTACGTACATCAGTTCGAGTTGCCACACCACATTAGCACAGAGATGCAGTGGTCGATTCAAATCCCGTAGTGGTAAAGGTAGCAAGAGTATAAGCAGTAATCGGGAAGATTAGGGTTTGGAGATGTTATTTAAAGAGTATAATCCGGTGAAAGAAATTTGGGAAGACGGAAAGAGGGACATGAAGAATTCAGAAGATTAGAGTTTGGGAGAACACAGAGAGTGGATGCACCTGCGCCATTGCGAACGATTTTGAGCCATGTCATTCAGGGTCTCTAACCATCGGTTGCTGTCATCTCGCGGTCCCCAACCAGGTAGTCTACACCTACCAACATGACTCAGTTCACTTGTCAGTGACTTCATGGACTTGTGCCATGTTTTGGTCTGGCCGCCCCTAGCTTTCTTCCAACCTACTCCTATACCACTGAACATAGCACGTCGAGGCAGTCGGTCGTTGGGCATACGTAACACGTGTCCCAGCCATCTCAACTGATGAAGTTTCACTACTTCATCAATTGATTTGCCATCCTTACCTAGTACCCGTTTCCTGACAACTGTGTTACTTACTCGATGGTCCCAGGATATACGAGCAATGTTTCGAAGACACCTATGATCGAATACTAGTAACCTACGGATATCCTCTACTCTTACCGGCCATGTCTCACTGCCATAAAGTAGGACGGAACGAACTGCTGCGCAGTAAACACGTCCTTTGGTTGATAGACGGATATCTCGCCTACGCCATAAATGACGCAAGTTGGCAAAAGCTAGTCGAGCCTTCTGTATCCGTGCTGAGATTTCGTCACAAACCAAACCACAAGGGCTGATGAGACTTCCAAGATAAGTGAAGCGGTCGACACACTCAACTACTTCACTCCCTATCACTAGTTCGGGTGTCGATGTAACCCAATCCTGAAGCAACATTTTACATTTCGAGGGAGAGAATCGCATCCCGAACATGCTTGCATTGTTGCTTAGAGTGGTCAGAAGACTCTGCATTTTGTCAGCGTCTTCACCAAATAAAACTATGTCATCTGCATATTCTAAGTCAACAAGTGAACCTCCCGGTAGAAGTTCAACCCCTGGAAATTTAGATGAGGAGAGTGTTATCTCTAAAAGTACGTCAATGACAAAGTTGAACAAGAATGGGGAGAGTGGACAGCCCTGACGAACACCACTTGAGGTGATCAATTCTGATGACAGTTCGCCATAAGCTCTCACTCTACCAGTTGTGTTCGAGTAGAGAGCCTTTATAAGGTTAATGTACTTCTTTGGTACTCCTTTCAGTGACAAACACTGCCATAGAACCTCACGATCAACGGAGTCGAATGCCGCCTTAAGGTCGAGAAATACTACCATTGTGGGGCGTCTGAATGTGTGTCTCTGTTCTAGAACCTGACGTAGTGTGAATATCTGATCTATACAACCACGTCCAGGTCGAAAACCAGCCTGGTTTTCTCTAGTCTGTTCTTCACGAGCTTTAGTTAGGCGTCGAAGTATTATTGAGGCCAATATTTTAGACACTATATTAGTCAAACTGATTCCTCTGTGATTGTCACAAGAGGACTTTTGTCCTTTCTTAAAAACTGGCACAATCAGTGATTGAGACCAGTCAGATGGGATTACGTCCAGTTCCCAAATTCTACCTAAGACCTCAGTTAATCTTGCTGCTAATACTGGACCACCATCCTTAAAAATCTCAGGAGTAAACATGTCAGGGCCTGCTGCTCTCCCTCGTTTCAGATTTCTTATGGCTTTTTCAACTTCGTAAAGGGACGGAGGACTTACATTAACTTGCCATTCAGGTTGACTGGAGATCGTGGGAAACCGAAGTGTGGCTGAAGGCCAGTTGAACTGATCCCTAAAGTGTTCTGCCCATCGATCCAATCTCCTGGATTGAGAATGAATAATATGTCCATCTTTCTCTGAGATTGTTTCGCTAACGGTCGGTTTCCTAATTCCGGTTTCCTTAACGAGTCTAAACAATTGTCTGCTATTACCTATTGCCGCTGCCTTTTCCATCTCTCTTGCTTTCGCTACCCACCACTGTTCGCGATCATTGCGTAGACTTCTTGTCAGCTTGCGCTTAAGCTCACTCCGCTCTTCATTATGTTCAGAGCCAGGTGGAATGAGTTTTCGAGCATCTATCAGTGCGATAGATGCTGCTGAGATCCAGTGTTGCTCCCTAACTTTACGGTTTACCTTACTAGCAGATATCACTGCTGTTTCCACAGCTTTTCGGATATCGTTCCATGCTGCCTCGGGGTGGGCATCACTCACATGGCTGCCTAACTCTTTTCCTAGTTGTTCCTGAAATATACTCTTAGCTTGACTATCATTAAGTAGGGCCCTAAGAGGTTTCCTTGCAGGATCTTTCCTACGTCCAGTAAGACGCAAGCAAATACGCGCTCGCACTAGAGCATGATCTGAATCTAGGCATGTGCTCCAGAATGAGCGACAGTCTTCTATCGAGCCCCTCCATCGGTGGCTGATAGCGATATGATCTATTTGGGTCCAACGTTGGGACGAATTAGGGGGTCGCCATGTTAAAAGATGTTTTTCCTTATGCTTAAAGTTAGTATTTGCAAGGAACAGGCGGTTATCTGAACATAGCTGCAACAGACGGTCGCCATTATCTGTTCTTTGAGCCACGACACCATAGGATCCACCTAGGTGTCTTTCCTTATCGCTTAGTTTACCTACTTGAGCATTAAAGTCACCGGCCACTATTACTACATCCGAGCGCTTAGCTTTTCGGAGAAGGTCCGAAAGCTTTCTGTAAAACTCATCTTTTACATCATCTGAGCTGCAGTCAGTGGGAGAATAGGCAGAGACGACGAAGAGGCAACGACGAGTGTCCCTATCTTTCCGGATTCTTACTGTTCCGTTCAGTCGGACAGCGCACAAACGACTGTTTACTGGGATCCACTCTAAGAGAGCTAGTTCTGCCCTAGGACTCAATGCTATACCTACGCCGGCGAGGCCACGGGAAGCAGAATCAGGGCTTCCAGATACACGAAGCGTAAATCGAGTCGGTTGTTTATTTTGGCATGGTGAGGTCAAATGAATGACGCTACTCGGATCTTGTATGCGCGTTTCGGAGACGCAGCACACATCGATGGCGCGAGATTCTAAAGTCCTAGCTAAGGAAGCCTGTTGTCCTATTTGGCACAGTGTTCGTACGTTAAAAGCTCCTACGTGTAGTTTAGAGCGTGGTTTCAGGAGCCCAGGAATGGCGTTCCACGTACTCGAATCGTTTGCCCTAGCGGTGCGAGGTGATAAAGAGACGTGAGGAGGGTTAGTCGGGAGGATAAGAGAGGTATTAGGAGGTGTAGGAAGGATTTGAATGTGACCACCTTGGTCTCTTGTGCTGTTACGGGTATGAGGGCTGATGTCACTTCCCGGCTGCCCACACCGTGGAAGGGTATTTCTTGATGAACCTGAAAAGGAAATTGGATTAGTGTTGGTCTTGACGACCTGGGAGCGTGACCGCAGAGCCCAAGGGACAACTGCTTGAGGCCGGTCGCGCACGGCCTTTTTGTGGAAGGTTTTTGACGTGTTAGCTCCGTTCTTCAAGGGGCCTTACCGCCGGAGACGGAAATCCGTGAGGTAAGGTGAGGTGTGCATTTTTAGGGTCGACCTTTTCTAACCCCACCCCTCTTTGTGGGAAGGCAGCATCGCTGTCATGCTGGTTGTCCGAGGGAAACACCTTACTGCTGTCACACCCCTCTACAGTCAGCAGTACGACTTCGCCCTCAGACCTTGAGTTGCTGCTTTTAGTCTTACCGTTCGCCAATCGACCTGCCTGGCATGGTAGAACCTGCAGGAACATATGTTCCAGCCAATATAGCTCGGTTGGGTCATCACGATAGGCAAGCCCGACCACCGCGTCAAGGTAGCAGCTTCGATCGGGACACGAAGTTCTTGGCTACTTCCATCTGTTCACTACCCAGAGTGAGTGCAGGATCAAGGTCTTGTCAGTCTTGTAAAACCACTTTACACTTCGAAGGTGCAAAGCACATACCATACCTACGGATAGTGATTGCCAACTGATTAAGTGCGGATTGCTTAGTTCGGGTACCATTGCACAGTAAGACAATATAATCCACATACTCAAGGTGAAAAAGTCTTTCCAAGCAACAGATCTACACCACCACTACCACTTACATCCATCAGAGCTGTTTCTAGAACGTCTTCGGACGCAAAGTTGAGGAAGAATGGTGAAATTGAGTAACCCTGTCTAACCCCACTGCTTGAATGGAACAGTGTGGAGAGGCGGTTGTGTGCCCTCACTTTGCCTGAGGTGTCAGTATATAGGGCTTGGAGAGCAGGACAGTCTGATCGATGTCATAGGGGCAGCAGATCAGTCGAACTGCTCCTCAAAAAACTCTTCATCGTCCAAGACGTCGATAGATGTTAGTGATTAGTATCCCGTCATCTTCACAGATTGTTTAACTCACACCAGATTACTTGCTGCCAGTGACTCAGATGAGTTGAAAGATATTCCGGCAGTTACAAGATGCAGCTGCTACTTTCAACTCATTAGCGAACTCCGACCACCAGGCTTCTCGGTACTTACGCAAGCTTCGCCCAATTTCATTGCGCAACATTTATGGTCAAACTCGCGGTCACTCAGAGCAGACCAACGGGCTTCAATGAGTTGTAAGGAGCCTCAAGAAACCCGGTGTTTATAGGCTAGACGTTTCGAGAAGCTGCAAGCGACGTTACTCGCCATTTTCATGGCGTCATGCAATTGCAACCAATGCTCATCTACACTTTTCGGTGGAATAGTAGCTAGCCCTGAACCTAGCTTGGTTTGATATTTAGTTGCAACAGAAGCTACAACCCATTTACTGACATCGATCCGTTTAGGACGACGAATTTGTTGACCACTGAAAAGATAAAATTAGTGCAGACAAGGGCATGATCAGAGTCCAGATAGGTACTCCAAAAGGAGCAGCAGTCTTGTACACAACTAAGCCATTGGTAGCTGATAGCGATGTGATCAATCTGAGTCCAGGCTTGAGATGAGGAAGGAGCACGTCAAGTAGCACATCAGCAGTGGCTGTGCCGAAAGTTAGTGCTAGCCAGAAACAGGTTGTGGTCTATGCACAGCTGCACTAAACGGTCCCCGTTATCTGACCTGCAACCAACAAGTCCCCATTGACCACCTAAACGATTTTCTTCTGTACCTAGACGCCCGACATGAGCACTCAAGTCCTAGGCTAGTACTACGATATCTGTCGAACGCACTTTCTTTAGAAGAACTGTTAACTAGTGGTAGAACTCATCCTATATAGCATCCGGGCTGAAATTTATTGGAGCGTAGGCGGAGACGACAAAAATACATCGTTTCTCACGCCGACTTCTCACTTTGATGGAAATTCCTAATCTAACAGCACGTAACCGACTATTAATGGGGGTCCAATCAATTAGTGCCGCCTCAGCTCTAGTTCTTAGTGTGACACCAACGCCAGTCAAACAAGATGAAGATGCCACCGAGTTCCTGGATAAAAGCATGTGAAACAAGCTCTTCGAAACGAAAGATGGAGAGCGAATCCATAGTATTTCACTAGAGTCTTGAATAAAGATCTCGGATAGACAACAGATATCGATATTGAGACTTTCTACAGACATAGCCAACCCTATCTGTTGTCCGATCTGTATTAGTGTGCGAACGTTGAAGGAAGCCAGTTTGAATGGTATACGTGGTTTCAGTGTTCGCATTCGGTGGTAGCGTTTAAATTCCAACCAGTCACTGACTCGAGATCGTTTAGATAGGATAGGGTTTCCACCATAGGCGAGTTGCTGTATAAGTTGAAAAATAAGAATAAACAAAGTGAGAATGGAAGAGAGTAGATAAGTGACGTAGTATATAAAAAATGAAGATGAATGTTATCAAATGAATGTGAATGTGATTCGTCTGAATTTTAATTGATGCAAGAATAATAGTTCCAGTAGTAATTGTCATTTGATTTGATTTTTTGTGGGCTGTGATACTGCCCGGGTGCTCAGACTGAAGCGGGGGATAACTACTACTTTACTCATAACATTTTAACTACATAGGCCACACAACTCACTAGAACTAAACTATACATGTACATACATACACTTACATTGTTTTTACTCTGTACATTACAAGACTAGGCTAGAAAATGTAAAAAAAGCTCTACAATAATTAATATAAGAACTGAACTCACATAGGTCTAGTCTATCTCCTGTCTTTAATGAAGGTGTAGTTGTTTTAGGATCTGGTATACTACAAAATCCTCCTAATCCAGGTATACCAACAAGATTGGAAAACAAATCATTTGGAAATATCTCCGAATTCTGAACTGATAAACAAATGTTATCAGCATCGACAATAACATCTTGACATGAGGTAACATTCATTTTTAAAGTCAGCATTCTTTCTAACCAAATATGTACAATAAGATATATCCCGATTGCACGTTGAATATGCTCACGTTCATTATTCGGTAATCGATAGATTAAATCCATATCATTACATGTCAACATTTGCATCTTATTACTACTAGTAGTAGCATTAGTAGTATGTTTTGTTATCTCGTTTGATTGCTCCAAGAATGATGAATACGGTTGTATTAACAGACGAGCATCTGTAGCTAATGTAGATAGTAGAGGAAGTGCTGATTGAATACGACGTAATTCATTTTCAAACAGGTCTAGAAATATTGCACTAATCTATTTTTGGTAGACGGGACCAAATATCAGAAAACAAAAAAGTCAAAAAGTTATTTCTCCCAATGTATAATACCCACATAACTAACTAATAATAAGAACTATATGATAGACGTTCACGATAAAAAAATTTCGTAGCAAATTTCTTTAATTATGAAATCATATTAATTGATAAATTAACTGAATGGGAAAAATGAGGTGAAGACTATGGAAAAGGAGTGATCTTGAGCAATTGTTCGACCTCGGACATCCAATCGGAACATTGATATTTACGCAAGTAAGCTTCCCTAAAAAGTTGAAAACATACTACGCTACATACAGAGAGTCTGAATGATTGTTTGTAAGCTTATCTGTAAGCTATTTATGTTTCAAATTAAACAGTTTTCGGATGAGTACTTATACACTTTAGTAAATAATTCCATTATCAGCTACACATCCCACTCATAAAATTCACGTGGATAAAATACCTTAATCTCAGTACCACATTATGACTATAACAAATCCGATGGTATAGCTGAATTTGCTGACAATGTATCAGGTGATTCAATATACAGTAAAGTCTGATGATGATCTAATTGATCCACAATGTGAATCTTCTTTATTTCAAAAATCACATTGGAATTCTACTACGTTCAAGGGACTCAATGAGTTCCCAAATTCCAATCGAGGTTTCACTGAAGCGAAAGCAGCCCGAGAATTTACTAATGATTGCATACAACAGACTAGCAGATAACCTAAAAATAACTAGAAATCTTTACGCCGTAAAATCCACTCTAATGTAAAAACACTTAGAAGACATGCGTTTAGTTAAACAAACCTTTTAAAAATTAATATCAGTGACTTAGAAAGGAATCTCCTAGAGAGGAAGTTTGCTGTTAAAAACAAACCATTGGAAATTAAATCACTTTTTATGGATTATGTGGATATGGTATCCAAAAACAGACCTGAGAAAACAATGGAAAAATTAGTGGGAACTCTGGAATCAAAAACCGAGAAGGTAATTTTCTTTAGACTCAAAACAGTGTTGAGTTAGATTTGGTTCGATTCGAATCCTTTTGCTTCTGACTAGACGAGGTTGTCAGGCTTAATACCACGTTAGTCGATAGTTGCCAACACCACGTATGCTAAACAAGCAACATGAGGGGGCTTGAACATAGCTAAGCAAAGATTATACGTTGGCCATAACTAAGTCACATAAGGGAGTTGCAGTTTTAATGGACAAAACGGAAAACATTGATAAAGTGGATTTGATGCTTAATGATCTTACTAAACTTCAAGAACTTATTGATATTAAAAACATCAATGAAAAAGTAGGCTAACAGATGGCTAGTTCTCTCAGAAAACGTAAAACGAATGAGGATAATTTCATCTGAGATGTATGATTCACTTAACCAACTGGATTAAACACACCACGACTCAACGGTCAACCTAAATTTTAAAAGTCGGGTCTTTTTCTTTGTTCAGTTCTAAATACATACAATTCTCTACATCGAAAGTCACTAACTGGTTAATTTGAATCCTAGAGCCTCTGAACAAATCAGTCGTAAAAACAAGTGTTAATGACGTTTTTGACTTCACTTCCGACGTGGAAGGAACGAATGTTAGTAAAGAAAAACATTATTTCTCTAAACGTCGTATCTTTATTTACTAATGTACTACAACTAATCGAGAAAATCGAGTTCATATGTAAACAAATATCAGAAAGACAAAACAGTGGCTCCCCTGAGGATAGTTTAAAAGAACTATTCCTAATATGTTTGATGAACGGTCATTTTGTCGGTAACAATATTTATAATGGGAAAAATCGATGGGATAGCTATGAGTTCACCACTGGACCCGATTTCAGTCTATTGCTTGTTAACAAACTTAGAAAACAAACCCTTCAATGAGGTTTTCGACAGGCTAGATCTATACTGCCGATACATTGACAACACATTTATCATCGTAGATCACAATATTCATAAAGAACTTTTAAACTAGTTTAACAGTGTACATCTGGCATTGGTGGGGACGAGTGTGACAACAAATCAGATTTCCTTGACATCTCATTAAGTAGATAAAGTGAGGGCCCGTTAAGCAGAAACGTGTAAAGAAAAATTTCCCTTGTCAATACACACCCATACTCTACAAAAGAAATCTAGTTAGATGTCTCACAAGCAGAACAAAAAAGATCTTAGATGATACCATAAAAGAGTTGGGAAATATTAATAAGCTGACGGACATAGAGTACCAGAAATTTTTTTAAGAAGTGCATATATAGAAAGAGAAACAAGTTGGAGATATGAACCGATAGTAAGAAACCCCCTTTCCTCAAATTAAAATTCAACTGGATTATGCCTTGCGATATACTGCATAAAGCATTAGCGATGATGGTTAGATGAACATTTTACGCAACCAATTAAACCAGTGATATCTACTCAAACAAAGTATAAATTCTCCTCTCCGATGTCCATCTATAAATTCAGCTGCTACCGAAGAGATGGCTATATTGGACAGACTACTAGGCAACTTAACTAACGAACGAGTGAACATCTTCCATCTTGACTTTGAAAGGACCAGATGAAGATAATACGCAATTCTACCATGCCACAACTGGTTGATAGTGGTCATAAGGTAGATAAAACTAAATCATTTCAGATGATCTATCATATACCATCGCCGTTTCCCAATGGGATTTGATCCCGTCTTCCATATATACCAGAGGCAATAGGGATCTGAACCTATAACCCTAGTTTATGTGTTCAGAATAAATTAGTGATACATCTGTCCCATCTTTAGCTGGGTATGATGACCTAATAAACGACTTTTTTCACATCCTGTATATGTTTATCATTTTTCACCTCCTTTCACTTATATGCTTCACTATCCAATTACTTATACAATTCTTATTAAGTAATTTTAGTAGTTTTTTGTGATTATTATTTTGAAGTGTATTTATCCAAGTTTGATTTCTTGTGTTGAACTAATGAATAGAACCTGTGTTATTTTATTATTCTTAACAGTACTAGTACACCTGTCCTATCATCACCAATTTGTAACTTTTATCTATAATATGTAGTTATGCAATCTATTTCATTGTGACCATTGACTAATGCTGAGAATTCTAAATTGTACTAAGTATATAGTATTGAATAAATTTATTATTATCATTACAAATTACCTTGCTTGGTCTAACATTTTCATATAACCAAAACAGATTATGAATTGTTAGGTCTGTCTATCAGAAAGATTGGTATTTTCAAACCCAGTCAACCTGAGATATGAATCAATTTTGAATGTTTAGTTATGCAATGCATATATATATATATATATATAATCAATTAAGAAATGATAGCTTCAGATAATCGAACTTGACAAACGTCAACAGACAAAGTGATACCTATTTAAAATATGATTTAGGTGTTTAATCACGAAATGACATTAGTGAGATGTCTGAGATTCAGTGTGGTACTGAAAAACTGTTTTATTCTAGTCTCCGCCTAGAGTCCCTCTGGGGGCTACTGCCGGTCCCAAGCCCGGATAAACGAGGAGGGTTGGGCATGGAGTTAGCGACCCCATCCCGTAGAAAACTAACTCGCTAAAAAAACGCTAACCACAAAAAATTATTCAAACCTTCTGAACTCTGCCTTGGGAGTCAGGTCTTCATTTAGAAAAACTATGACGCCTCATGACGAAAGCCGAATTCCTTCTCAAGTTACGAGGCCGATGCCCCTTCTGACAAACAGAGCAACCATTTATTTAGGTACATGGAATGTTCGTACAACGTGGGACACCTGGAGAGCCTTCCAAATCGCTGCAGAAATGAGGAGATACAACCTAGAGGTGCCAGGAATCAGTGAAACACATTGGACGCAAGTTGGACAACAACGACTAGCTTCAGGGGAGCTTCTGTTATACCCCGACCATGAAGAAGAAAATGCCCCACATACACAACGAGTTGCATCGATGCTGTCCAAACAAGCACAAAATGCACTTATAGGATGGGAATCTCATGGACCAAGGATCATCAAAGCCTCCTTCAAAACAAAGAAAGAAGGCATTTCAATTAACATCATCCAATGCTATGCGCCTACCAACGATTACAATGAAGACGCTAAAGATCAATTCTACAATAGGCTGCAGCCAATCGTCGAGAAGTGCCCAACAAAGGACCTGACCACTCTGATGGGAGATTTCAATGCCAAGGTTGGAGTGGACAACACTGGATATGAAGACGTCATGGGACGACACAGACTGGGAGAAAGAAACGAAAATGGTGAGAGATTTGCAAACATGTGTGCCTTCAATAAACTGGTCATAGGCGGCACCATATTCCCACATAAACGCATTCACAAAATCACATGGACTTCACCAGATCACACTACGCAAAACCAAATCGACAATATCTGCATCAACAAAACGTTCAGGAGGACGATGGAGGACGTGAGAACCAAGAGAGGAGCTGATATAGCATCAGATCATCACTTGGTGGTCGCCAAGATGAAATCGAAACCGTAGAAGCACTGGACAACGGGGCGGACAATATCACAAATGTTCAATACGGACTTTTTTCAGGATATTGACAAACTCAACAAATTCAAGATAGACCTCAGCAACAAGTTCCAGGCCTTTCATGATCTACTCAATGGAGAAGGAACTACTATGGAGAGCAACTGGAAGGGGATCAAAGAGGCAATCACTTTAACATGTCATGAGGTCCTGGGTCACAAGAAGCACCATCACAAGGAATGGATCACTGTTGATACACTGGATAAGATTCGAGAAAGGAGGAACAAGAAGGCAGCAATCAATACCAGACGAACAAGAGCAGAGAAAGCCAAGGAACAAGGCGAATACACAGAACTAAACAAGCAAGTGAAGAGGAGCATCAGAATCGACAAACGTAAATATGTGAAAGATTTAGCAATGACGGCGGAAAAGGCTGCAAGAGAAGGAAACATGAGAGGACTGTATGACACAACAAAGAAACTCTCTGGAAATCACCGTAAACCAGAAGGACCAGTGAAAAGCAAGGAAGGTAAGATAATCACCAATATTGAAGAACAACGAAACAGGTGGGTAGAACACTTCAAAGAACTCTTGAATCGACCAGCCCCACAGAACCCACTCAACATCGAATCAGCACCCACGGACCTCTCAATCAATGTTGGCCCACCAACAATTGAAGAAATCAGCATGGCCATCAGATAAATCAAGAGTGACAAATCAGTAGGACCAGACAACACTCCAGCTCAGGCATTGAAAGCAGACGTAGCAGTAACTGCAACGATACTCCACATTCGCTTCAATAAGATTTGGGATGAGGAACAAACTGGAAACAGACTGGAAAGAACGACTTATGGTCAAAATACCAAAGAAAGGCAATCTCAGCAACTGTGACAACCACAGTGGCATCACTCTTCTCTCAATACCAGGAAAAGCCTTCAACAGGGTATTGTTAAACAGAATGAAGAACTGTGTAGACGCCCAACTTCGAGACCAACAGGCAGGATTCCGTTGTGGAACAATCAATTGAATGGGATTCATCACTCTACATCAGCTTCATTGACTACGAGAAAGCATTTGATAGCGTGGACAGGACAACACTATGGAAGCTTCTTCGACACTACGGCGTGCCTCAGAAGATAGTCAATATCATACGGAATTCCTATGATGGATTAAAATGCAAAATCGTGCATGGAGGACAACTGACAAAGTCGTTCGAGGTGAAGACCGGTGTCAGGCAAGGTTGCTTACTCTCACCCTTTCTCTTCCTCCTGGTGATCGACTGGATCATGAAGACGTCAACATCTGAAGGGAAACACGGGATACAATGGACATCTAGGATGCAATTAGACGATCTAGACTTCGCAGATGATCTGGCCCTCCTATTGCAAACGCAACAACAACTGCAGGAGAAAACGACCAGTTTAGCATCAGCCTCAGCAGCAGCAGGTCTCAATATACACAAAGAGAAAAGCAAGGTTCTACGATACAACACAGCATGCACCAGTCCAATCACAATTGATGGAGAAGATTTGGAAGATGTAGAAACCTTACATATTTGGGCAGCATCATTGATGAACAGGGTGGATCTGATGCAGATGTGAAGGCGCAGATCGGAAGAGCAAGAGCAGTATATTTACAACTGAAGAACATCCGGAACTCAAAGCAACTGTCAACCAAGACCAAGGTCGGGATTTTCAATACAAATGTCAAGACAATTCTACTGTATGGGGCAGAAACCTGGAGAACTACGAAAGCCATCATCCAGAAGATACAGGTGTTTATTAACGGTTGTCTACGAAAAATACTTAGGATCCGTTGGCCAGACACTATTAGCAGCAACCTACTGTGGGAGAGATCAAAGCAGATCCCAGCGGAGGAAGAAATCAGGAAGAAGCGCTGGAAGTGGATAGGACACAACTGCGTCACAAGACAAGCCCTCACATGGAATCCTGAAGGCCAAAGGAGAAGAGGAAAACCAAAGAACACATTACGCCGGGAAATGGAAATAGGCATGAGAGAAATGAACAAGAATTGGATGGAACTAGAAAAGAAGGCCCAGGACAGAGTGGGTTGGAGAATGCTGGTTGGCGGCCTATGCTCCATTAGGAGTAACAGGAGAAAGTAAGTAAGTAAGTAAGTACGACTTCATAACAATGACTAATCTCTCACACCTCTACATGGAAAATGAGCGTATTAATGTAAATGAGAGAATAACGTTCATTTTTTCCGTTGAAAATTCACACATTTGTATGGAAGAAAAAAGCTAGTATGAAAATGTTAAATACCTAATGTGATTAATAATTGATCATAAGGGAGGATATTAAAGTGAGTTATCTGCTTTCTCATTCCACGTTTAATACAAATAAAATATATTCATTAGGAATATGATATCAAAATTACAACCAGGAGATTTTCAATGAAATTAAACTATCCAGTGGGAATGTTAGCTGTTTATATACTATGTAGTTTGCTTCAACAGAACAATCATTTAGATTCTTGAGAACACCACATTAATATTAAGGCATGATTTAGTCTGTATATCATGTAAGTTTTACGTAAATTTTACTTGAAATCAGTGAACTACATAACGTTTTCTAGGTTGCAACATCTGGATATCTAGATAATTAAAGAAACTGAATAGAAACCAAATCCTACCACGTGTCTACAAAGTTTTTTGGCATCTAATAAACAGTGGTCGACGTCTCTACATTAGTGGTACAATATTCGTCTACTGATAAATATTAAAATGATGTCCTCAGATATCAGTTCAAAATATCAATCCAGGTTTAACCGGCAAAAATTTATGTTTATTTTTTATAACTTATACAGTTAAATTAGCTATCCGTTGCTGTGATAACTGTCGATATATTTGGAGCGACAACATCTTGTAAATTCCTAGATCGAAATCACGGAACAATACTGAATGCTCCCACCTCCCAAAAAAGACACTAGCCTTATTAGAAAAGACACGGTCAGGTTGGGGCAACGGATATTACTCTTGAAGCTTGTGACCAAATATACTAGTTTGTAGACGTTTTGTCCACCGGTTTCACCACAGTCCTTTTAATGTCACTGTCTCGAGACCGGCACTACAGAACTCCTGGTCTAGAGTACATACCATTTTTGTAATTAATTAGTTCATCCTCGAAATGATCATATTCAGTATATCTTATTCTGTTGATAAATGAAATAATCTTTCAAACTCGAAATAACATACTCTTGCGAATTTGCCAACAGTAGTAGATTCTCGTTTATCAGACAATTCATGGTCCGATTGTCAAGATTACTTTAAACGATACGCTGAACATAACAGAGTATGTGATGAACAGTAGAATTTTATCCAAAGTATTCGTAAATACCATTTTATTTTATCAAACAGTTGAATAACCAATATTCAAAATATCTAACAATCAAACACACCAGTCAATGAAGCTACAATACAGTATGACTGATGAAGCCTCCCAGATTTCTATGAATTATACAAAATATGCAAAACAAAGAATGATACGCTAACTTCAAAACTACCATTTTAAAAAATCAATCATATGCCATCTTTCGAAATACAACAGAACTCTATGAAGTAAGGTATAGATTTAGAAAACATATATTGAGAAACGAATATTTTTGGGGTTAACCCACTAGGACCAATAATGACTTCGTTCAAATACTCTTGTCTTTCTAATGAACAAAATGACCACATACGAGTAAATGTATAAGTTATCAATATTACCATTTTAACTTGGTAAATGATACATGTACACGATTAGATAATCAACAATGAATTGAAAGTAATCAAATGTTTAAGCTGATAAGTTAGTCATTTGGTTTTAATGTTGAATACAAATTCAGTGGTAAAATTTGACGATCGTACTATAGAAACAAATGTGGAGATTTGCAAAACAACGTTAGCTACTACTTAGGACGATAGTAAGATTGATTTCTAGAAAAAACGTCTGATCTACGTTGTTCATACTGTAAAATACATTAAGTGATAATTAGCATTGAAATGTAAAATGAATGTTTCTTGTATCTAACTGACTGAATACACCTGAACTGAACTGAAAACTGAACACTCTCACAAGAAACAATATAGTTCACTAAGCAATATGAAGCTGAAAAAAATTGAATCCGATCTTAGGGTTATCAAGGTACCAGTTTTACGTAGTCAGTTTCAAGGAATGGATTTTATGTGCAATGATGGCTCGGTGATACTATCTATGACCTTACAAACTGAAGTAGAGATGAAGCGAAATTAAAACATGCAAACCGGTAGTTGAAAGTCAAGTACTTCAACTACTAGGTCACCATTTCACTATAGTGAATATGAATACGTCCTATCAAATTTTATTTTAACTTCATTGTTAGTAAAAAAAATACAGCAAACATATACTACGAAATATTAATTTATATACATATAGCAAGAATACCTCAAAATAGCTCCTTAATACAAGCATCGCTTCTTCGCGAGCATTAATAATTTCAGCGAAATGTTGATCGGATAATTGACAACCACAATTGACGCTATATACCAAGTCTGTTAGCAAACGGATAGCCATTCGTACAGTGATTAAACGAATACGACTTTCTGTAATTTTAAAAATACAGAAGAATAGAATGCATAGCAAAGGTTAACTTAAAGAAAATCTAACCGTATTAATATCAAGATTTTAACATGCTGTTCTATATAAACACAATTGATCGTCTATTTCAAAAAAAAAACAACCAGAAATAATACTGGTCTTGGGATATTACTTATCTGGTAAGTTGAGATGGAAGCATGTACAACTTACACAAGTGAACAGTAGGACGACATCGATGTTTGACTGTATACCTTCAATTAGCTTCATTCATTAAAATTAACAAGTTTATTATGAAGTGTCAAACACTTACTCCTGTTACACCTAGTGGAGCATAGGCCGCAAGTGTTAAATATAATCCACCGAAATGTATATTTTAAGGCATTATTTGTTGTTACAGTGTTATAAAACATTTTCGGGAGAAAACCAGTTAATATTACAACATCAATACATGTTACTATTGGCTTGAACATTTGAACATCGTGCATCCATTTAAGTACATAAAAAATAATATGAGAAAAGTACGCGTTTAAACATTACATCCCAATCTATTCTAATTGATTTGTATAACTGGGAGCGTATGGTGAGACTTTTGTTGATAAAACTGATAAAAATAACCCCAAGAGTATAAGTTGGTTGCCTAAACATCGTCTCCTCCCTCGGCTAATTTATTTAATTTAACTTAAACATTCACTAGTACATTCAAGTCTTCACAGCATAATTTAAAGCCTTATAGACCAATAGTGCATGGAATATCATTGAATTAATGGTATTTGATGTGTGGGCGAGAATGATAATGATTGGTTGTCTGCTTAGTCAGACAGTAGATAGTCTAACAGGTGTCAGATGAGTTATGTATTCCCCTATCCTTATAATTATTATGATTGATTGTTCATTATTGTTGGATTGTGTCGGATTTTGGTGTGGAAATATACTTACGTTCTAGTCAGGCTAGTCACGTGTTCTTGATTTGAGTTGTGTGAGGTTCTGTAGAACAGACACTGGAAGGGAATCTAGTGTATATATTCGTCTAAGGTAAATTAACGTCCAATACATGTAAACGTGGAAATCCAACCGTTATAGGTATTCTACGATATTTTTAGGTTTAGACTAAATCGACAATGTACAGATATACTTCTTCGACTATTTAATCAAGAACCAGACATAAACAACAAAAACATAATAATAGTAGGAAGAATTCATTTACAATATCAAAGTAGTCCATTAATATATGATCCTTTTGACTGTCTATCACAACTTACATTGTCTGGATACATTATACTCAAACATCACTTTTTACTGAACAAGAATAAAAAAATGATTATTTACAGTTTCATTTGCTAAACACAAAGTATATTGAGAGTAGTTTAAAGTTTTATCACAATCGATCCCTTCTACGTAAGTAATAAACTCCCATTTGTAGCTGAACATTCAATACTCTAACCTACATATACAAATCATACCGTACATTTAGCACGGAAAAACATTCTAAAAAACCGAATTAACAAAATACATACGTATACTTTCAATTAGCATTCCTAACTATATCAATTATGAAGTAGACCAATGAAATTTGAAAATCCTTACATCATATATATGTATATGATCAATCACACAGAAACAATAGGTAGTGATCCAGAAGACATCTAATTAACTAACTCACAAACATTGAAACAACTAAGAGTATTTTGCACAACCAATACATACACAAACATTTTATTTAGTGATGAACTATTACTACCCCATAAGAAGTGCAGAGGATGTGAAACGGAAAACGGTAAATACGAAACAGTAAAATAATAAGGTCAAAAAGTACAAATAAGCTGCTGATATACGAGAAGAAAGTATAGAAAATAGTGAAATGGAATAGATGACTTCTTAAAAATTCCAGTAGCACAACTTATATCTAGACTAACAAAGATTAAATAAGTGAGGAGTAAAAGGAACGGTAGACCAATACGCACCATTCATTGTAATTGATGTTGCAATTTTAAACAGTAATTTATATGCCAAATTCATGAATATTTATGAAATTTTTAAACGATATTTTGTGTAAGAAGGAGAGAACTACTGTTACTACCCGCATGTTAGTCCAATTAAGAGTATGTATGAAGCGGTTTGCATCTGTAATCCAATGACTGAGACTAGATCGATTTAACCACTGAGATATCGACGAAAATATGAAGCAATAAAGTTTAAAAAAATGAGCACGGGAGAATGAATGTTGATAATATTGGAAATTCTAAGGATGAAATGTATATCCAACCAGACAGTCTATATAGCAGATTATTAGTTATCCAAATGATGGGATTAAAACCCAATCGTATTATATCTCGATATTATATCACACACCGAATGGTTTAAACGTAAATTCACAGAAAACTGTAAACAAAATTATTCACACAACCACATCCGACACAAAATCGACGTTTCATATCATCATATGCATGTGTTGGGAACACTTCGTGTCATACACCAGTCGATGAAGACAAGACATTTTTTACATTGATTGAGACGGCTTAGATAATTATGTAATAATTCATCCTGGTATCCGACTATGAGATGATGAGACTACATAGTACAAAATAAGGATGATCACTTCATGACCTAACTCAAAATATAAACCTTGCACAAGTTAAACCTTTTATTGACTAATTTTCATTGTGTACTTTTCAACATCGCATTCATTTAGTTGGCCTCCTGCTATTATTATGTCGTTAAATGTGAAAACCTGAACTGTAACACTTGCGTGAAGGTCCTGATATATCTCTTTGCCTATCATTGTTATTTCTAAGAATTTCAGCAGACATTGTTGTCATTTACTAGTTCAAATGCTGTCATTCTATTCAGACAATCAACCGTAACTATGCTTAAAATCTATACAATGCATAAATGATGCAGTTTACTCATTACTAAAATGAATAATCATTTCAAACATGATCATGAGTGAACACGAAGAAAATATACTACCATGATTACAATGCAAATAAACACACATTTTTACACAATGAAATATCAAAACAGTAACTATTTACTCACCAGCTTTACATGCGTCACCAATTAATTCAATAAGCTTTGTGACAAGTGTATAATTATACGATGGTTCATTTTTCTAATATACAGGACAGAAAGACAAGAGGGTAGAAAATATAGACAACCAAAAATATTATACTAAAATAAGAAGCGATTTCTAAATAAAATAAATGAATTATAGCTGATATTTCTTATCAATCAACGTATGTTTGCAGTGTAAATTCATTCAGTAATGAATAAGATGAAGAATAATTTCACGTTTGGTGGAACAACTGAATAGTTAGTTCTGGGCTTATCAGGTAGAGATGGAAAATCAGTTAATGAGGTTACGAACAATTATCGACTGAAATGCACAGATCCAGCCATTATCTACTTGAATGTGCTACACTGGTTAGCGTAAGAAGTTGAAAAAAACGTTGAAGGTGACTAGATGAAGCTATTGGTTGTTGAACTGAGCTGTGTCAGGCAGTAGACGTCCTGTTTAGAGTACAATAGATAAAGGTTATGGTTTGTTGAAGATCTTAAATTACATAGTTTGAAACCAGTTGAATCAGAGCAAAACTATTCATTATGCACCTCCCTTTATATATCAAGTCTTAGCATTATTATATACTTTCCATTCCTCGATTTTGAGGTCTTTTCAAACTATATATTATTTCCGATTACATGTTTCCTTTTTTGTTAACTTCATGTCTAGACACACTGTTACAAGGTGTAACAAATTGGACCGATTCACATTTATGCCAAAAGTTACTAATGGACTAAGTTGCAGTCCTAAAAAAACACGTGTTCTAAATAGCACCCAACTGAATAACTGTTGATTTACAAGAGACACAACTGATTCGGTGTATTCTAAATCCATAAATAGCGGAAATTCACTTCAATCGTTGCTTTTCAATAGTCCATGATGATATGGGAAGATTACATGGATGATTACATTTCTGTTTGAGGAAATGTAGAAGTTTTGAGAAATGTAATACATTTGTTCCCAGCTTCAACTAAGGATGATAATAGTGATATGTGACATTCATAAATACAATAACTAGAGGCATCGATGGCCATATAACATTGAGGTCAGACTTGTGATCGAAAACTCTAATCATCAATAAAACAACAGGAACAAATTGTTTATATAGGATTCCTTCATTCTTCTCCAATTAAAAATCTACATATTTCATATATGTGGAAAAGTTGTAACTTTTGAAGTCACAAGTTGAATGTATCGATTTTAATGTTATTTATACTCGTTGCTAACATTGTTTTTTTAGATATTTTACGGGGTATAAAGAAAATTCCAATATATTTAGGTAATAATAAAATTCCATGTGAAAGAGATTTATAAATAATCAAAATTAGTAACGTATACTTTTATAAACTCTTACTTTATCGGGACGTTTAATTGCAAAGTTTCAAAGTAGCCAAATCAACACCTAGGAGAGTTTTTAATACGAAAATACATTGCGGAGTGAAAAAGTGAGCAAAAGAAGAACAAGTATACATACACATA